AGAGGGAGTGATTGTAATTGAGTGAATAAAAACACACACACACACACACTTAAGGATATCTTACAGAATTTGTACTGATCGTACGGGACGTACCTAGTTCGTACGGGACGATCAAGTCAGTTATCTCCTCGTAGGAGCAATGGAACAAACAGGAGGTGATAAAATTTTTCTAAGTCCTGATCATCCAGGATGAAATTATTTTTGTCCCAAGATGAATTCAGCTCTGTAAAAATTTTGTCCAGACAAAATACAAATCATCCCAGGACGAATTCTTCTATGTAAAAATTTCGTTTAGACAAAATTCATTATCGTGCTAGGACGAGTTGCTCTCTGTAAAACTTTTGTCCGGACGAAGTCCTGTTTGTCCCAGGATGATGTGAACCGACTTACCACAGTTGGTTATGTCCTACAGTTATTAGGGAACCGACCTATGGTATAACTGATCGTACCGGACGAACCTAATTCGTACGGGATAATGATCGTGTACAAACATAGTTTGTACCAATATACATCAGGATCGTTTCCAACACTTTAAGTAAAATCGTCTAGGATGATCCACGATCGTACGGGATGATTTATTTTGTGTTGACTTGAAAAATTTGTAGTTTTGGACGGTTTTTCTTGTCTCTCCTATATATAGTCCAATTTAGACTACCATCCAATCTTTTTGTTATTTGATCTTCGTGCCTATTTAAAGAAGAGTCAAGGAGAGAGTGTGAGAGAGCATTCAAAGGAGGATTCCTACCACTGGAGCGTGAAGGCTTTGCTTGGTATTCAAAGGTAAGAATCTCTACTTCTGATTTAGGATTACTTCACTCTTTTCTTTCTTTCTTCTAGAATTCTGGTGAGAAGATATGTCAAGGAGATCTGGTTCTCTGCCGACACTTGGAGAGTGTGAACAGCTGCGGGTTCTCTGCCCACACTAGAAGAGTGTGAAAGGATGAAGGATTCTCTGCCCACACTAGAAGAGTGTGAAAGGGCGAAGGGTTCTCTTCCCACACTAGGAGAGTGTAAAAGGACGGACAGTTCTCTGCCAACACTGGGGATAAGTGTAAAAGAAAGACAGTTCTCTGCCGCACCGGGTAGTGATGGAAAGAGTTTTTATAAAGGCTTCTCCGCCTTATTGTGGGTGCTAAAGGAGAGTCACTAGTGGTATTAGTGCAATACTCGGAGGGTGCATCCGAGGAGTGGATGTAGGTCTGGTTTTGACCAAACCACTATAAATCTGGTGTTCTTTACTTTTCTGCTTTTTATTTTATTTTATCATTTATAACTTGTGGTTGAAAAATCTTTTTCTAAAAAATTCACTAACAATTAAGGTTTAATTTCCAAAGTTTAAAAAGAGGGTTCAAAATTTTTAATTACCAATTCAACCCCCCTCTTAGTTAGCCACTAGGACATAAGCTTGGGTTTAACAACCTAATTCATTGTGAACGAATCTCAATATGTGGTATCAGAGCCTTGTTTCAAAATCATAAGTTTATAATACTTTTTGATTAACGTAGATGACTACATTTAGAAATAGAAACACATATGAGGGTTACTCTATTACTAGACCTCCATTGTTTGACAATATACCTTTTGATTTTTGGAAAACATGCATGTCTACTTTCTTACAGTCACTTGATTATCATATATGGATCTTAGACCAGGAAGGATATACAAAACCAACTAGATTAGTTGATGGAGTAAGGGTAGAAACACCTTTTGCAGATTAGACTATAGAAGAATGTGACTTAGCACAACTAAATGCTAAATGTTTAAATGTCAAAATGGGTCAAAAGTTAGATTCGCGTCTAACTTGAATTAATCTGGGTCCAAACGGATTCACCCTAATATGACCCAATTTTGCACACATCAAGAATTCCAACCTCGATTGTTATTTCTTTATTTTGTTATCTCTATCCTGTCTTATATGAAGAATTGTTATTTCTTTATTTTGTATCTCATCTAGATTTGCAGGTGGTTTTTAGTGGAGGTACTCTTGCTGAAGTTTTTTGGGATGAGGAGCTGGAGCTTATGCTACTTGCTTTACTATTTTTTGGGTGATGTATCTTGTGCACCGTAGAATATATCTAGATGTGTTTGTACTTTTGCTCAACAGGGAGCTGAGCTCTTAGATATTTTTTTATTTTATTTTTATAGCTCTTCGAAGCAGTAGTGAGCTTGAGTCCTTTAAGGACTCTGTAAATTTTGCTTATATTAACGCGTAGGCCTCTCTATGTGTTTCCTTAAAAAAAATCAAAAATTCCAACCTAAACCCGACCCAACCTACAAATATAACTAAAATAAATAAAAATAAAAATCTTTAACCATTAACCTATGCACCAAATCTTAATTACAATTTATATGAATTATAGAAATAAAAAAATATATGTTTTGAGCAGCTTTCTCATTATTTTAATTTTCAAATCACAATCACACTTTTACTTGATTGCACCTTTTCAAAAAATTTTATTGTAAGACCGTTTTTTATAAAAACTTTAATAAAATTGTTACCAAAATTTTCTAAAAAATATTATAATATTCAAAATAATTTTGAAAAAATCATTATCGCCATAATAGCACTAAAATCGCTTCTCAGCCAAAAAAAAAAAAAAAAACCCTCTGTAACAACTTCTATAAGAAGCTGCTTTAAATAGACCCTACGTATGCGTATGTATTTTATAATCTCGTACCAAAAAAAAAAAAAAAACTTAAAGCAAGAATCAAATTCTTAGTTTGCTCAAAGGATCCAAATCAATACCAGATTTCCTACTTTTTTTTTTTAACAAACTGGACCGTAATGATTATAAACTCTTAACATTATAAATCAAGATTTTACTTCGAGCTAACACAGTATCTTTACACCCAGCTCATCAGCAGCCATCAGCAGTAGAGCAATCATTCCTGCCCAAGTCTCTCTCACACAAGCCTTAAACTCTTGCGTGCAGCTCCAAGCTACCAACCTCACTTCCCAAGTTTCCTATTATTCCCTCTCCATTTCCTTTTGTTCTCCTTTGGAAGGAAGCTATGATTCCAAAGAGTTATATAAATGCAAAAGTGGAGCAAATCACCCCTTTTAGTTCTCATATATGTTTAGCACCAGCAGAAGCCCTGCATCCTTTAAGACAGATAGTTGGAGAGCGATAAGAGAAGAGTGGGGAGGGGGTCCAGAAGAAAGTTTCAGGGGCAGATGGGTCTCATGGATGTCAAGAGCCTCATCTTCATCACAGGTTTCCTCTTATCTGGTAAGTTTTAAGTCCTAGGAACTCAACTTCCATGCATTGGGTTATTTAGGCTTTGTTTGGGACGGCTTTCCTCTTGCTTTCTAAAATGACTTTCTAGTACAAAAATTTCTTGAATTTGAATTTTTTGTACTAAAAAACCGTTTTAGAAAGCAGTACGAAAGTTGTTCCAAACGAAACCTCAGTGCTCTGCGACTTCTCACAAGTGCTCACTTCCATTAAAAGCGATCTTCTATATTATACATATTCTAAATTTTCATTTCATGATATGCTATAACAGACATGGTCAGATATTTTATGTTATGTTTTGTCTAAAATGTTCAACTTTTTATTGATGCCGAAATTGAATTCTAAGATTTTCCTCCAAATGATCTCACATATGAGTTCGGCAGGAACCTTATCTAAAGAACAAAAACTCTCCAAAAGCAGTGCAGCTGGTTTACTTAGAGAGGTGAATTCCAGAATGCCCGGAAGAATGCTCTTCCATGACAATGAGATGGAACCCTTCGACGCCATGGCTAATATGGATGTTGCCACTCCTATGGCAGGAGTTCCAGTATTCAACCCATCAAACCCAGCTGCAACAACCATGCCAACATACAATCCAAATCCTACTGCTCCAACAATGACACCATCGACGCCAACCATGATGCCTGGGAATCCTTACACAGTACCAGGAATGGGGACACCAATGTTATCGTCAGGTCAGAGCTGGTGCGTTGCAAGCCCGACCGCTTCACAGACAGCACTACAGGTGGCTCTTGATTATGCTTGTGGTTATGGCGGCGCGGATTGCTCAGAGATTCAGGCCGGTGCAAACTGCTATAACCCAGATACAGTGAAAGACCACGCATCGTATGCCTTCAACAGCTACTACCAGAAGAACCCTATACCTACTAGTTGTGACTTTGGGGGAACTGCTATAATTACAAATGTGAATCCAAGTAAGTTCTTAACAGGTCCATTCCAGAATTTCCAAAACTAAGACTTTTGGTGATTGGCATGTGGTTTACTCTAGAATTTTCATAGATTCAAGTAGCATAAATCCTGACTATCTAAAATCATAATCATATAATGCGATGGTAAGATAAATGTTAACATCATCATTAGCCACACCCCAACTATTTATAGTTAGCTTTATAAATTGAAGCAAATCAAGATTTGAATTTTGATTTTACTTTAATTGACTTTATGTTAATATTTTCTGAATTTTCTGTTTTAACTTAGTTTTTTCTTCTTCCAATGCCTATGATGATTCCTAAGAGAATGGGTTGTGCTCTCTGTGTCTTGGTTTGGTTCGGTTCACTGTGCTAGTTGAATGTGAATTTCTTTAGTGTTCTGCAAGTAGTTACTACAAAATTCCATGAAGTCATCTACAATATGAGGCAAGAATTTACACTCCGATTATTTCTTTGGTAGAGGTAGACCTAAAAATACTTAGCTAGAAAATATTATAAATGATCTTTTTTTATTAGATTTAAATGAGAATTTGACTTTTAACATGATACAATGGAGAAAAAATGATTAATGTAGCTGACCCCATACATGATTGATGTTGTTGTTGTTGGACAACAAGTTCTTAACAGGTCCATTCCAAGTCGGACAAAGACTTGATGTTATTGTTGTTGTTGTTGTTCTTGTTGTGAGCTTTTATCATCTTTATGTTTCATTATTAACTTGCCCATGTGATTTAATTTGGTTAAAACTTAAACTACATGGATTTACAATTGGAATGAAATTTCCAATTAACACAATTTATTAATCTTAATTGTAATGTTAAATTTACATTTGGATATAATTACATTATAATTTGAAGTTTTGTATGTATTTTCACTTTTCATCAAAAATGATGATGCTTACATTGATTATATGTGAAATGTGAATTTTTATTTCATGTGCATGATTTGCATGCATTACGTCAATCATAAAGTCGCATCAGGAAATCCTAGACCCTATGCCATATTGCATAGGATTTAGTAACAGAGTTTAAGGTTGCATCATTATTTCAACTAAAAGCAGAACATAATAACTACATTAATAAACAAAATAATAACATGATGTAATTTAAAAAAGATATGGTGTGATGTGATTCTAAACAACAGCATGACTACAAAAAAGTACAAAATTATAAATCACTCTAATGCTAATTGAAAGAGAATTTATAATTCTTATTTATCTTAATCAAATTGACGCTATAATCCAGTAATTAACTGCAAAATCCACAAAAATATTTTGCTTTTCATTTGCATAAGGTCTCAATGCCTTTAACAAATAAAATTTACTTCAAAAATGCAAAATCTCAAGGCAATCCCACATATAAGACAAATCATAAGTTTAATCCTTATAGATAGAACTGATTATCTACAAATAAGCAAGCAAATTGACAAGATTCAAAATAACAATATAAAATAATTTAAATATACCTTGATGATAATCGCATTGATAGAAATATCAACTAGAGGGGATTATCTAATCAAAACGCCATAAAATCTTAATGAGAATTCTTTTGGGTCCAAAATATAATAAAAATATAAAAATCCAAGAATTAGAAAATATTAAAAAAAACAAGCAAAATCTATTGCTATAAATTTAAAGCAATGAAATCCATTCATCCTCCACACTAATTTACCAAGTGTCCAATATTAACCCAAGCTCACATAGTAAATATCACATTGAAGGTAATCTATGTTCACTCACAAAGATCTCTACATAGGTGATGTTGTTGTATGTGTCATTCGACCAAGTGTTTTATTATCAAATGAATCACAAAAGTACAATCAGGATGGGGCCCTATGACCAATTGATTTGCCACAAAACAACACAATTAAATTACAATCACAGCTAAATCCATAAATTTCTCAATGGCCCAAATCCTCTGTGTTGAGAATTATAGAGTGCACTTGATATGGTATGAAATCCTACATGGATTTAAATTGTTCACCTAGATAAACATCAATGCCAAGTTCATAAGATCCTCTTGTAATACATAGCCCATGGGGGGGAGGGTGGGTTATTAACTATAAGGCTTGAATATACGAGAAACCTAAAAGTAGATTATAAATCCTTACAAAATTAGATTGAAATTTCTATGTAGTATCTTATAAGTAATATAATCTGCCTTTGAAAAATTGACCTAGAACATATTCCCTTACAAGAGTCGAATGAAAATTTTTGGAGCCCACAGAAAAGTGTTCCAAAATTAGTGGAATGAATTGGCAAACCAACTTGTATGGCTTGAATTGTAAGTGAAAGAATGTGGTCCTGAGTGTGGGAGAAATTGTAATAAAAAGCTTGAAGAAAATGCTTCTTTTTACTAGTTAGAAATCCTTTAAGAGATATTTAAGTGTTTGGGCACCAAAATATATGCCAACATACGTTATACCCATTACTTAAAATTTTCATAACCACATCTAACCATTTCTGAAGAGATTTCATAATTATTGGTTGATTGTATGCTAAATCACGAATCATATGTAAGATTAGTTCAAAATCCTAAAATATTAATGCATGGTGGTACATGCAATCGAAGATAGTATGCATGATGAATATAACATAGCAAAGTCAATCTTGGCAGAAAGAAATTTTTGAGCCAAATTTCTAACTATGATGCACCGACACTTCTCCTCAAAGAAGCATGCAGTGTCTGACACATATGCAACACGACATGCATCCGACACTCCTCCGACACATGTTGGACACGCCAAAAACATGTTAGATTAAAAAAATAGTAAATACAAATTAGAAATGACTTATTATTTCTAAATTAGACATGCATGTCCGACAAGTGTGTCTTAAATATTTTATGATTTTTTTAAATATAATTTTTTGTATTTAAAATTTTTACTTATTTAAAATATAAAAATTAAATTTCTTATTTTATATCCACAACACCAAATCAATCGTCTGCACTTAATAACCCATTCATCGAATATTCTCATTTTCATTTCTCATTGGCGGGTTACAACTTTGATTTTACAACAATGTCCAATGTCATCTCAATATCGACGTCTGACATCGTTAAAACATCAACATTTCAAAACGATCTCCATAAAAAAGTTTGAAGTCGTCTTTACATTGATGCTAGCAATTTCTACACCCACAACTTGACATCTCATATTTTTCCAACACCATCTCAATATCAATGACCAACGCCCTCTCAACATCAACGATAAACACCCTCTTAACATTGGCGTCCAATATTTACTGCATAACATCATGTCCGTCTATCAACAGCATTGTCATCTCCTCTCTCGATAACTAATAAATGGCACCAATGTCTGACTCTCGACATCCTAATATTAATCATTTTAAGCACAAATTTTAATAAAATGACTTATTATTTCTAAATTATTTTTTAAATTATACTTATTCAATTTTTATACACTATTTTTAAAATATATAAATTATAATACCGTGTCCAACCCGTATCCGTGTCCTGTATTTTCAATATTTGACGTGTCCCGTGTCCTTGTCGTGTCGTATCGGTGTCTCCGTGTCCATGTCTGTGCATCATAGATCTCCAATAGATAGTTTGCATAACAACTAACTTGTGCTCAACGACTATTTAATTGTCTGTATGATTATTGTATAAACAACGACATCGTCGTGAATAGATTTGCCAAGCAAAAAAAAATTGTTAAACATTTTTTTTAAAGTGTGAAAATTAGGATAAAAAATAATAAGACTTCTTTATTTTTAACATAGCATAATTTTTAATATCACACTGATAATTTAAAACATTATATATTTAGTCACAATCTAAAAGAGTATAATTCATTGCGACTAATATTTAAGCCATTCATATTAGTTTTCTTTAAAGAGGATATTCACCAATATATATATCATATTTTAGTGGTTTGTTTGTTATCAAGTTTCTTCATTATCTCTTCTATTAGGAATTAGTTAAGGTGCCTTTATTAGTAATAATTAGAATTTTTTTAATATTTTAGTACTTCATACTTGTATCGTATTTTTTGCATCATTCATCATTCATTTGCATGATGTGCATGTAGATATATTCACGAAAAAATTGATTGTAAAATAAAATAATTATAATCCTATTGTTAATGTGAACAGGAGTTATATGGAATTAAAAATGGTTGATAAGGCAATGATACAAACAAATCTTGAATGGTAACATTTAAGACATTAAATGCTAGGAAGGCAAGCCAAATAAAATCATGGAATGCATGGGATGAATACAAACAAATTGAAAATTTCAGGAAGTTATTATATTATTCCAATTTTCATGATATCAAATTTAACTTCATTTCAACTACTGGACACAAATATCTTAGATTTTTCTCTTCCACCATCTTAGGAACTAACATCCAATGCTTTTTCGGGCTGTTATACAAATCTTAATCCATAAGTGATATTAGAAGATATGATTATGTCCATTATTGATGGTAGATATTAGAGACATCTTGTGCATTGATGTGATGGACCTGTATGCGATGATTCATGTATTACATTATAGAAAGCACATCAGCCATGCCAAGATTTGTTTGATGATAATCAAATGCACAATTTTTTGGAGCCAAATAATTCCAAGCAAGGTTTAAAATTGCGCAATACTCGAGTATTGAGGCGTTTTTCTTTCGTGAGGCGAGGCATAAGTCTCAAGGCATAAGCCTCAAAATCCAAAAATTGTATAAAGTGAAAATAAATGTTAAAAGTGATTTTTTATATAATACTCAAATAATATGTTAAAGAATGACATATTAACTTTCTATTGAAACAAATTGACATACATATAAAAACAAATTGCACAAGACCTAAAGTGACAAGTGATAAATTGCGTGAAATAGAATTAAAATTTAAATATTACAAGAACAAAACAACATGAAATATAGAAATCACATAAAAGTATCATATAACATTAAGTTCAGTTTCAAATTCCTTCTTAGTTTCCTACTCATCCACATTCAATTGCTAAAAAAAGCTGACATAAGTGGCAACAACTCAGAAATCATCTGCACTCTAATTAATGAGGGGGTCTTTATTTGAGTCTTCATCATAACAAATTGATCTCTCATCTGCCTCATCCTGTGGAGTTCAATACCTCTCTATCTATTTCTTCTTCATTTATTTAAATCATCTTTTTCTTTCATAAATATTTGTCATCCATATAAAGATGAGAATAATACTCCAAAATTTTTAGAGGATGGGGGTGGTGTTGGTGGTGGTGGTGTGCGGCTTTTAAGTGTTTCTCGATGGTGGCTATGATGGTGGTGGCTATGATGGTGGTGGCTACGACCAAGGTGGTGGGCTAGAGGTCGAGGTTGTTGAGAAGAAATTGTTGCGGCTTGGGGGAGCATGAAGGCATGATTTAATAGAAGCTTTAGTTTAGGATTTAGATATTTTTTAATAAAAATGTATATATAAATCGGTTGAGGCGTACGCATCATGCTAGTAAGGCGAGGCGCACCTCAAGACATGCATCAACTAAGCTGAGGCATAAGCCTCATAAGAAAAGCTTAAGACGTAAGCCTCAAGGCGTTTTTCACTGGAATTGCGCTGAGGAGGGCCTCAAAGCGAGCCTCATATTGCGTAATTTTAAACAAAGATTCCAAGCCAAGCAAATTTTATGTAAATCAACATTGTGAAATTTAATTTTATTTTAGTAGATGTTCTGTTTGTAGTTTCTTTTATTTTCAAAATTTTTAATTTTAAGTTTAGTAGTTTTATACTTTTATACAAGCTTATGATGATCCCATACAAGAATAGGTTGTGTTCTCTCTGGTTTGGCTAGGTTCCCTATGCTAATTGGATTTGTTTAGTTCGGCGCAAATGGAAACTAAAAAATTTCAGAAGCAATCTCTTTGTAACGACATTAGGCCTAGATCAACACTTCCATGATTTCTTTTTTTGATATTTTATATTCATTTCTTAGCTATTGGCCATTTTGTGTGATATAATTTAGTCCAAATGCGTATAATCTAAATTTTTTATTGTGGTGTACTTTTTGATTGGAATGCAGTTTTATTGATCTTGATTTCTTATATTGATTTTCTATTTGGCAACCATTAAATCATCATTTATGGAGAATTTAGAATATTTCTGAATTTCACAAAAAGGGATGAATACTTGTTTAAATTGATGGTTTTTGAACTATGAATTTGGATTCCATAAGTGTGATTTCTATAAAAATTATCATATAGTCACATAGGAAACTTAAAACCCTAAGATATCTTGCATTATAAATCCTTATTCTCCATTCAAGCCAAATGGGTACTACATGTTACACTAACTTTAATTTATGCAAGTCTTTAACTCATTACTTTATTCAAATTAATTTTGTTCTACCAATTTCTTTGTGCCATTTGGCCTTTTACATTGATTGAATCCACTGTTTTAATCCACAGTACATCTACTACCCTATGTACATGTCAAATAACATAATAACATAAATCTATTTTCTACCGCTAGTCCTCAATATATACAATTTCAACAACCTCTATAATACAAATCATTTTGCAGTATATCCTTCAAAAGTTTATCAAACATCTCCACTCAACCACATTTAGCTTAGTTACTACTAAATTTTTGTTGCATAATACTCTAATCCATACAACTTAGTCTTATGATTTTTAAATAAAATTAACCTTTGAGGGGAAAACATTGAGTGAAACAAATCCTTCTCAGATTATAAAAAGTGCTAATGGAAAGATAATCAAATCAGACATTCAAAGTGAATGAAAAGGGTGAGATAACATCTCATTTCTAATAAATCTTCCTCCTTTGTCGTGCCTTCTCAGGTTGCTTCCAATTTCTATCATTAAATAACACGCTTTTCACAACTAAGTGAAAAATCTAAAGTTGTGCTTACTTTGTCATATAAAAATGAACAGGGAATTCCTAAATTGCTTAACATGGCTACATAAAGTTAACAAATCCTATAATGTATCATTAACTTGAGAAAAACATATCATGAGTGTTAGTGATTGATCAAAAATCATTTCAACTTCTATATGCACTGTAAATGATTTATACTCACCAGTCTTCCTCCCCATTGATGCAGGTACTTCAACCTGTCAATATCCATCAACAAGGTAAACTTTCATTTTTATAATCACATCTAAATAGTACTTGTACAACAAAAATGTGTCCATTGGTTTTACATAATGTGAGGTAGACATGAAATGAATCACTGATGCTTCCATCAACAGCATGAGTTCATCGGTTCTCAACACAACCATCCCAACAGGATCATCAATTTATGGATCAGTTCCTCCTGATTCCGCAAGCAGCAAGCACATTTTAAGAACTGTACCTCTCACAGTCACCCTGGCGTGCTTCCTAATACTAATCGCTCAATGAATATAAACAAGTGTGATAAAACAACCAAAGCTACGAATGATCATTGTTCAATGAGACAACTATATTGGTCAACAGAAGGTAAAAGGAAATGCATGCCATCCGTAATGAAATACTAAAGCCCACGTCAAGCAATTGCATCATATCTGAAGATGTATCCTAAAGTTTCATCACCAAGGCATGTCATATTCTTTGATATAACTAGTAGCAAGGGCCCGAATCACTTTTTCATATATTGTAAGCTTAGGAGTTAGAAATATAAATTCTTTCATTTCTTCTGTTTTGTTGCTGCTGTCCTCTAATTGATGTTCAAATCTATCTCCATCTATTTCCGGAGTCAGGAAAGAGGAATTTCTGTTGATATGCCGATAAACATGTATAAAAATTACACAGTAAATCATATCTAGGCTTTCATTTTGAATAATAGAGCACCATCTTCCATAAAAAGAGGGGTAAATCTGATATAATTAACATCCATGGTGCACTAACTTTCTTAACATCAACATGGCTGTTCAGGCAACTATACAATATGAAAAGCCTTCCGTAGAAACAGAAAGTAGCAATATTGACCATGTTCACCACATTATGCAGAAATCCAAAAGCAGTTAAGTCATTTGAATGCTAAGCAGAATGCAGGAAGATTTGCTGAACGACAGATAGAATGAAGAAGAAAGAAAGCAAATTCACGCAGAACATATTTATAAGCAACAGTTAGAAATCCTCTGCTAGGATTTTGACAAGATACTAGTATATGGCATGAGAAAGAGTGAGATGCAAGATTATTTGATGATAGTACAACATTTTCACTGACATGACAACTGAGGTTCTTCTTAAATTGATGAGCAGCATTCAGCATGTTGTATTGTACATGCCTTAACATTCATTTCAACAGGGCAAATATATAAGAGGTCTGTTGTCCCTTACGAGTGTTTCCTCAGCTTTCTGTTCCCATCTCTGCCATAACTTCCTAGAGGTATGGATGATCAAAACAAAAGTAAGCAGCTCGCAGAAGCTAGGCAGATGATGGCCAAGGTAGCAATAATGGATACTTGATCAAATGCTTTCTCCAAGCTCCCCGACTTTGAGAAATGCTGAAAAGCCAGATATATAACGGCGGCCAAGGCAACAATCGTGCCAGCTTGACTTCCTCTGCTCAGAGAAATTAGTAAGAGAATGGGAGAAAGCAAAAACTTTCATGGAACTATAGACTTGCATAACATTTATGAGATTTCTATACATAAAATTAAGGTACATTCCACTCCAATGGTGCTGATGTTACAAACTTTCTGAAGAGACTTTCAATGCCCGTCATAATTTGAAAAATAAGAAGCAGCTGAGGAAACCTCCTTTAGTTTATGCCAGAAAACATTTTATCATTCCCATTCCACAATTACGACTAACCATTAGGCTCATAACTCGAAGTTGTTGGATGATTGCTTGAGTTTTAATAGAACTTGAAACTCAAATAACAATGGACTCAATTCAAAGTATATGCATGTATATTTATCCATATGTCTATGATGGAGGATGCATATGTCAATTACTATATATATATGTTCAATTTTGGCTGAATTTTTTTATGTATTTGGTTTAACCTTACCTTGCACGGGATCCAAATATCATTACAAAATATTTTATTTCCAAAGATATTCATTGTTGGATCCAATTTGCTAGTGGATCATGCCAAACCTAACTAATGAACATAATCGAAAGAAAGAGAGCCCATAAGAGAGAGAGAGAGAGAGAGAGTGAGAGAAATTTAAGAGTGAGAAGTTATGGATTTCACTAAGTTCGAGAATAGGGATTTACATATCTCAAGTCCTACCCTTAAGCATCTATTTATATGTTTGGGTTGAGGTTTAAGTGCTACAGGATTGGCCACATAAGGAGTTACAAGAATTAGGAAAATTACATAGCTCGTCACGCAAGTCATGTAGCCTAATTACATGCAATCATGTGCTAACTTTAGATGATTACTTAGCTAGTTTGATAAATCGAAGTTTCTGACCTAACTGGAGAAGAAGGTGCCAAATTAGATGAATAAACAAACTTACTGAATTATTTAAAAGAAGTCGTCGACTTTCTTGAAAGAAGTCGACAACTTGCAACAAGGAAAGGAAGAAGAAGGTGAAGGAAAGGCAAAGGAAGGAAATTGGGAGGAAAGAGAAGGAATTTGGGTTTGCAAGTTTCTTCATTTCTAATGACAAAGGAAGTGCAAGTGATTTCAATTTCTTATTTTTTTGTGTTCAAATTTAGATAAGAAAATTTATAAAATTTGATTCGTCTGACTGAAGCAATAGTATGTGATTGTCTAATAGAAAGAAATTCAAATAGAAAAAAAATCTAGTGGGTGAAAGTTTCATTTCAATGGGGAAGAAGGAAATTAAAGGTAACAAATATTAACTTTATGAATCTTATTTCAACAAATTTCTAGATTATAATAAAGTAGAAAAAGGAAATAAATGGTAATATATATTGGACAGGGAAGGAAATTTAATTTGTTATACTGGGATAAAACATCAAAATTAAACAAAAATCGCTGAGGAATTTAGAAAAGATTTTAAATTGTAAATAATTAATTAGTTGAAAATTTATCAAAGTTAGTTATCAAATTTCAATGCAGATTAATGAAATTTTGTATGTGACCTTACATGTTGTATTAAGGCTATATCAAAACTAGAGTATTTGGAAGAAATTGAAACACGAAAGCAATTAAAGTGTATAATTATAATTATTTAATAACAATTATAATTTCCTTTTATTTTTTTATTACAACTATTGTATCTCATAGCATATATGTTGTCTGAGTGTCTAATGTAAAAAATGAATCAACTGAGAAAAATAAAATTGATGATTTTATTAGTTATAGCAAATTCATTTTCTTTATTTTATTGCTAAATATTATATAATGCTCAAGTATTTGCTATGGTAAGTTGTTAATATGCAAAAAATTTAAGAATGACAGAACAACTGAAGTTCATAATATATATATATATATATATATATATATATATATATATATATATCTGAAATATCTAAAAGTGTTTTTAGATGACATACATAATTTGACACCAAAAAGATAAATAAATTTTACTATTGAAATATTATCATGTTTAGAACCAGTAACAAAAATACTGTACAGTTTAAGATAGGACTTATTACTTCAATTAGAAATTGCCTAATAATTTGATTTAGGGCCTATTACTTCAATTAGAAGTTGCCTAGTAATTTGATTTAGGATAGGACTTTTTTCTTCAATTAGGAGTTGCCTAGTGATTTGGTTTAAGGCTTATTACTTCAATTAAAAGTTGCCAAGTAATTTAGTTTATGATAGGCTATGTTGCACCGATACACCCATTTATGAAGGCGTTGTTGACCTCATTTTTGTCTTGATTTTCCCTCGAGCATGTCCGAGCGAGTTGATCGAGTCTCGTCGAGCTCGATTCAATTCGAATCGACATCAATTTAAGTTTTGTTGCTATTGAATTAGTGTAATCAACCCGCATTGAACCCGAGTTTGCCTGATTCGAGTCGAACCGAATTAACCCAATTAGTTCTAGTTTAGTGCCAATATGCTTTCTAAGAAATTTGAATTATTTTCTAGATCAGGACCTTTGATCCAATGGTCCCGGTTGTATTGAGAACCGAAGCTCTCTCCCTCGTGGCTTTTTTTCCTTGGTTCAGCCGGCCCTAGACAAGGGATTGGCACACCCCCGCTCTCCTCTCTTCCTCTGGCGGCTCCCTCTTGGTCCCAAGATAAAAAATCTCTCTCCCGCTTCCTCTTCCTGGGTCGCTTGAGCCAAGGGATGACCGAACTTGATGGAGGCTCCCTCTCTCTCGCTTTTTCTCCCTCTGAAATCGGCGCCAGCAGGGGGATAGAGCCGAACACGCCCAGCCTCGTTTCCCTCTGGTTCGCAGAAGGCCAGAGGCCGAACCCCCCTTCCTCCTCTCTCGGCTTCGCAAATCTCACCCGACGCCGTGCTGCCCAGGTCGCAACCTCCTCTGCCCTAGCCGAAGCCTTCAGCTCCTTCGGTTCTCTCGTGTGACCCAGCCGCTCTACTTCTCTCCCGACACTCTCGGTTGGCACAAACAGGAGAAGCGGAAGTCTCCCTCTGGCTTTCTCTTCTCCATTCGCACAAGGCCAAGCCGGAGCACTCTCTCCCGAGCTTCCTCCCTCCGGTTCGCAAGGCATCCGAGTACGGGTTTCTCTCGCTCCCTCTCCGGATCGATCCCGCCTATCCTTCCTCCGATTGGCTTAGCTTCGACATTTCTCTCCATAATCGAGCCCGACGCCAAGCCCCGACGACGATTCAAGCAGGTCGCAACCTCTCCTACCCTAGCCGAAGCCCGACCCTAGTCTGAGCCCCTTTCTCTCTTGGTTCCACTCCTCAGTTCGCGAAAGCCAGGTTTGAACCCGGCGCCGTCTCAACCTCAACCCGACAACGATCTCTCCTCCTTCGAGCAGGTATAATCCTTGTTTTTCTTTTCTTACTCCTCCCCCCTTCTTTCATTTTCTCCCTGCTTTATCTTTCTCTATTCTTCTTCTCTGTATAAAAAAATTTTAGCAATATTGCTTGTTTCCTCTAAGATATTGATATCAGATGGTAGGATTGAATGAGTACTTTTTGTTTGAGTAATACTTATCTAAAAAAAAAAAATCAGAATGATGTAGGTAACGTGAGCTTTATGGAGTGTCACTGAGGTTTAGATTATACGTCAGTAAAAAAAATGGTTTGCAAAGCTTATGCACTTCTACATGGATATCAAAATCTATTGTAGATATGTAAATGAGTCATTTTTTTTTTATAATAGATGTTGAATAATTTTTGTATGAAAGTTCGAAAAGCATGGTCCATTTTGTGAAATTGCGATCTTATGATTCTATCATACATATGATGTGAAAGTTGGTGGTGCGGCTGGGTGATTCTATCATGTGTTAGTTTATATTTTTTTTGTTATATATGGTTCAAATATGAAGTCACATTTGTCCATGTCGTATGATTATGCTAGAAAGTCTCTATACATACCTTTAGCTTGATACCACGCGCAAATTTGATTGCATATTTTAATTATTCAAGTGCTGTATGTTATTAATTAGTAATATTCATGTCGAACTTTGTATCCTTCAGTCTCTTCATTTATTGCTCTTTGTGGAATGCATAAGCTTTTGGGTTAGCGATGAAGTTTGAGTTTAGTGTTTGAGGCTTATTTTAATCAAGTACATATATATATCAACTTTTCATGGTGAGCAAAGTTCGAATATGGATTTGTGGAAATTTCTTGTCTGCTAAAAGGCTTTTAACTATGTAATCGGAAATATTCGTAGTCATCTCTTTGAAAATCGATGAAAAGTATAAACTTGATCTTGCGAGCCTTTGTGGCATGCTTATCGTTACGTTTCTAGTTTTCTTATTCTTAGTGAATACATTCATTACTCATGCTAGATTCTATAAAGATTGGTGATAGCACTTGTTATAAGTGAGGTGGACTTTTGCTGCAATATATTGATTAGTATATCTTTCCGATGTGTTGGCTTATGTCACTTGAAAGTGAGCTATTGGTATATAAAGCTTATGGTTGATTCATGTCGCATGATTTAAAACTGTAGGTGTGAATTGTAGAAAATTACGAGAAATTATGTCGATTCTTTATCAAGGTATACACGTTAGATATTGTGTGAAAGGTTGTTGGAAGAGATTTGTGATGTTTTGGATTTAAGTCAAAGCTTTGTATCTGTATTATCTCATACAGTCCATAGTTAAATAAAGTTTTTTTTTTGGGATTTCTAATTGAAGATTCTCATGAGCATCAATTGTTTGGTTGGGGAGACTCCAATGTCATCCACTATTGCTTTTATATATTTGTCGTGTCCTGCTCTTGCCTCCACTGTATTGAAAATATCTCGTTGTTCGAACTTTATTTCAATCAAAAATTCCTAAGCACTTGTGTTAATCCATAAAAGTGAAAATTTTGTTAGAGAATATTTTCTTTTATAGTATTCGAAGAAGTGATGTGGATTTTCTTGTTTTGAAACTTACTTCTATATATTTGAATAATGAGGAAGGATTTCTCACGTGTGCTCTTGAAAATAACTTGAGATGAGAGGATAGGTTCACTTATCT